TTAGGGTTTAGGGTTTTGGACTTTGGCGCATATCGCCCTGGAAATGCGTCGGGAACCCATTGCTGCAGAGAGCGGCACGATGGGAGGTAGCACAGGACGAGCTCACTTGCAGGAGGGCCCTTGGCCTTGCATTGGCGGTCAGCGGAGATTCTATTTGGAGGTTCACTACATTGGGTTTGGGGTTTAGGGCTTATGATGACGTTGCTGATAAATATCCAGAAGTAGAGGCCTGGACGAAACCTCAGGACCCAAACCTCAAGCCCCAGCCTCAAACAGTTAGCCCTGCAAGCCCTCACAGTGATCCTGAAAGACGTAGTACAGCCCCCCCATAGATACCCCCTTTGTCAAACCCGAAACTCACCCGAAACTCTCCGCCCTCGGACCGACGCCCATGCGGCTTCTTAGGTTCTTGAGACTTGCGGAGTGGGTCTGGCACTGGCTTCGGAGGCTTCTGGACTTCTTGGAGACATGAACTCCTGTCTTCCCTTTTGTCTTACTACAAGTGAGCAAGTGTTGTTGCTAGCATTACTGTTGGTGATGATCGGTAGTGATTTTACCACTGGAAGTGTCTAGAGTCTATATTGCACCTACTACGTTTGACTTTATCTGCTCTCGCTATCCCTGCCTTGAGTATGTCTACCGTCATTCTGGCTTAAGAATCGATACCACGGCAAATGCCACAGGACAAAAGTTCCACCCACAATGCCACATGAGGCATCAAGTCGGGCTCTGAACAACACAAGACCACTTCCACCTACGAACTCCCAGCAGAGGCTCCCCTCTTTTTTTTTTTTCTCTCTCTCTCTCTCTCTCCCTGTCTCTCTGCTTCTTTCTTTTGTAGCATATATGAGCTCACAGCGTCACAGATAGTAATTGTCCTGTCGGGCAATACCCTACAGCCAAAGCCCTTGGCTCTTAATTGCTCTGCCGATGGATTTGGGGGGCTACTCCTAAAAATCTCCGTTCATGCATGCTGATCAATCTGGCCCGTCTTACCCGGTGAGTTCCGGGAGCACCATTCAACAGCAAGACAACCATGTAGGTGCTTCACGAGCATGTTGAATGGATAGCGAAAGGTCGTTCCGGAGTTGGTTGGGTGCTGTGGCGCATCCAAAACATGCATCGCCTCGACATCGCCTCGTCGTCTCCAACCTGTGCTTTGCAAAGCAAGGGCAAGTACAGGTCAACACAATTCGCCTAGTCGCCGGATGGTTTCCTCAGAGTCCCTTGAACTGGCCTTCTGCAGGCTCATCGTGAGGCTGCCGCGAGACTTCTGCGTGGAGTTGAAGGTGAGACCGGTCCGAATTGAGCCGCCCTTTTGGCTCCTTGCAAGGCAAAGTTCAGCAGCTCGCGCAGATGTGAACCAATCGAGCACCAAGTCGTGCTAGACAGTCCGAAGTGTCATGTTTTGTTGCCCGGAAGGCTGTCCCCTTGTGACGCTGGAAGAAGCCCTCGCGACGCCCTGCCGCTGGCTCGGTCACGTGGCATGTGGCATCAGCTGCCTCACGACGTTGATTTGCCGCAGCCAATTTGCCAGGAGCAGACATCAATCCGGAATGTTTGCTTGTTCTGCAAACCTTCAAATACCGGCAGAAGCCTGCTCCAGGCTCACACCCCAATGCATGACACCCGGTTCCTAAAGATGTTTCCTGATTGCTGCGGCGACAGGCCACGTTTGTGTCAAACCGCTTCAAACGAGGATCCAAAGCAAAGAACTTGGGAAAGTTTGCAAACAGAAGCCAGCATTGATGAAAATGGTCGGGGGCTATGTGAATGTTGGGTTTGTGTGATCTAGCTGCGAAGGCTCGTTCGAGTTTTTTCTTGCACATGTCGACAGTCGACAGGTTAGCATCCCAAGTTCAGCAGACTGCTCAGGTGAGACTGGCGAAGCGCTGCTCCGTGCGCCTGCAGATGCGGCGTCGGAGGAGCCGCCAACTTATAACTACTTATAACCCCGATTGAGGTACTTACTAAGTCCCATGATCCTCCAAGTAACGATGGGTTATGCCGAGCAATGCGAGAGGACCTAGCCTATGCGATCTTCACTTCCGGCTCCACAGGCGGCTGGGAACGTGAGCCGTCAAATTCCTGAGTCTAGGACATTTTCAGGTAGGTAGTTACCGTTATAGTTATAGGAGCCTTATAGAAGGTCTATATACCTTATAGAAGCCTTATAGAAGCCCTATAATACCCTAAACTCCCCACCTGTAGTTTCCTTTAAGCGAGTGTGTGCTCAGAATCGCACCGCAGGCCTTCAGCTAGTGCCCTGGGTTTAGGGTTTAGGGTTTAAGTTGCGAGCCCTTTGCCCTCAAAATACCAAGGGCGGCCCAAGTGCGTTCTCTGCGAGCCGGTCCGGCTGCGTTTGAGAGCGTTGGGGACGGGACCGGGAGGCGAACAGCATTTGCGACTCTATCAGGGTTTGGGGATCTTGCGGTTTAGGGTTCAGGGTTTAGGGTTTAAGGTTTAGGGTTCAGGGTTCAGGGTTTAGTGGCTTCAAGTTTGATTGGAAAGGTGGCCATGTCCCATCCTCTTCTTGTCCGCAGCTAGGGGCGCCCAGCCAATCAAATTTCGAAAGGCCTCATTTATCACATGCCCTTGCCCCGACAGCGAGGTAGGTCGCCTCCATGTGGACCCAGAACGCCCAATAATAATAATAAGCCCTGAATCAAGGAACATTCCCACGCACATAGCAAGAAGCCCCACAAGAATCGGGTTGCTTCAATCGTGCGGCATCCGTATCGTATCAGCCTCAAGCCCTCAACCCCTAAACCCCGAAGCCCTTAAACCCCTAAACCCCCAAGCCCCTAAACCCCTAAACTAAACTCCTTAAACCCCTAAACCCTTGAATCTCTGAACCCCTGAGCCCGAATCTCCGGGCCAGGCACGGCGCGGCTTTGGCCTATGCCTGGGCCAAGGCCGAAGTGGAGGAGCTCGGGCCAGGCCGGAGCAGAGCACCCAAGTACCGTCGCTCTTGCATAGGGGCTTTCGGGTTTCGGTTTCGGGTGTATAGGGTTTAGGGCCCAGGGTTGTTTGGGCAAGGGGGTGGTTCGTTGGATTCGCACGTCGCGTGCCTTGGCTGCGGAGGCAGCCGCCAGCTTCTGGGATCCCACTTCACCTTCGACCCGGCGCAAGGTGGGCAGCCCCGAGAAACCAGCGACCCCTGGCCCTTGCCCAAAGCTCCCCGCAGGTGACGTTTTTGGAGCCTTGACTTTGGGTGCTACGCTTGTGGCGCTGCCCCGCTCGTGCCATGGCTGTGGGTTACGGTTCGACAAACTGGGACCCTAAACCCTAAACCCTAAACCCTAAACCCTAAACCCTAAACCCTAAACCCTAAACCCTAAACCTCCCGGCCCTTTTTGTGGACCCGGCGCTGTTGAGAACTGAGGACGGTTCTGGGTGCCCTGCAGGATGCCCTGAGCATCTCGGTCTTATCAGTTCCTGCATTATTATTATTATTATTATTAGGGTTTAGGGTTTAGGGTTTAGGGTTTAGGGTTTAGGGTTTAGGGATTATTAGTAGTATTATTATTAGTTTTCTTACTATTGGTTATATTAGTATTCTTATTATTTATCATTAGTATTAGTATGGGTAATGCAGGATGTATATCATCAACCCTAGTCACTCCGGCCTCATGAAACCCGAGGTTTGGATGTCAGCCATGCCACGATGACGCCGACGCAGTGGTCGCTGAAGGCAGCGGTGCAGTCCGTTTCTGGAACCCTCAAGCCCCAACAAGGCCACCCTAAACCCTGAACCCTAAACCCTAAACCCTAAACCCCATGCGAACCCTATAAACCTTATGAGCCCCGAGCCCCCTTAGCCCGAAGCCCCGAGACTTTGATCGTTTTGGAGGCTCCTGGCCCGCTGCCAAAGTTGCAGCACCTGCTCCCTGGTCTCGTTTTGCTTCTTAACTACCTATACTATTTTTGGGGGCTCCTTATTGCAGTTACAAGTATAATATACCCCTCTAAAAGGAGCTGTTTTTTAGTTTCTCTGCATTTTTTGTCAGGGCTTTGTTAATATCGAGATTTTTAAACGGTTTTGAAAGGGCTTCATGAGAGCTTCAACCGGCTTTCTGATCTTTGGAGGTGTCTAAGGTCTAGAGCACCCTCCCTCATGTTCTCGAAGCCCTCTCACAGATCTTTGTATCAAACCCGATGTTCTACGAGACAGTCGTGTTTTTTCTTGTGAATTCAAGATTTCTTTCTGATCCTGAAGCTGAGGACGCTGTGCGGGGAAACAATGCGCGCGGATCCTTTGCCATGAAACTTTTCTCCAGAGTCCAGAGCCCACAAGCGGTGTAACGCTCAGCGCCATAGACATCCCTGACCTACCTGAAGAACCCAAAACCTACTTTTTTGTAGGGTCCCTATAAATCCCATATTAGGGTTCATAATAAGAACCTACAAAAAAGTGGGTTTTGGGTTCTTAAGGTAGCAGACATCTTTCGCAAGGGGGGCCTGGTTTTCGCAAGTGTAGACTGCTTGGCAGCGTCTCCACACCAGACCCGCTGTCGAGGGTCTACAGCCACCTCGAGTTCTCAAGCGTCATGTTGCCCTCAACTTGGGTTCCAGCTGACACCCGTCGCAGTAAGGAGACGATCGAGACTTGGTCCCCGGTGCTGGCGCTGCGCAACATGTATGGTGTAGCTCAGACTGCAGGACGCAGCTTTTGAACACCAGGGTGCCCACTTCCGTCGTCCCAGGGTGGCTCGTTAATACCAAGCACATTTGGATTGAAGAGCTTGCATAGTTGCATCTAGTTGCCATCTGTCACCGAGGTTACGGAGGCGACCGGCTTGCAGACCGCACATCGCACGGCCGTCGGGGACTCGCCGCACCCCGGAAGCAGATCCAGCCTTCCTCCTCTCCTTCATACAAAAACAGCTCCTCCCATAGCACTAGCACAGCAGTACCACCAGTGTTGGTACCACCAGTCCTGCGGCGCTCTTAGGCTGTGACGGAGAGTTGTCAACCAAGGAAGCTTGTCGGTCGCGCTCTGCCCGCCTATGTCCTGGCCCTTTCCGAGGACCCCGTGGTATCTTTAAGCCGCCTGGTAGAAAGGGCCCAGTCCTGGGCCCACACCTCGCAACCTCCTAAACCCCCTAAACCCTAAACCCTAAACCCGCTCTTGACCTGTCGGAGGAGGGCGAGATCCTCCTGGCGGGTCGCGGCCTCGCGCGCGGGTACTTGGGTCTCGAGGAGGCGCCGCCGAAGCCCCCGAGCTCCGAAGAGAAAAGCCACGGTTTTGGGTTTAGGGTTTAGGGTTTAGGGTTTAGGGTTCACCCCATAAGCCCTAAATCCTCTCCCTCAGCCCTTGTTCCCTAAAGCCCCATAAGCCCCAAATCCTAAACCCTTTTGCCCTAAACCGTGTTTGACGACCATCGCAGGAGACACGAAAGCGCTTCGTGGATTTCCCTGCCCTGGCGAAGGGTACGGAGGTCCGAGAGTTTTTGAAGTGAAGAGCCAGCCCGAAGCCCCCAGGTACTTACTATATAGGGTTTAGGGTTTAGGGTTTAGGGTTTTGGGTACTAGAGCCCCTAGGGCCTGGGGGGTTAGGGCAGGTTCCAGGAGGGCTCGCGAGGCTTCTGTACTGGGGGGGTTGCGGTGTTTCACCGGTTGCTCATCAAGAGCCGTGCCTGTAAGAAGGGTGAGAGCGCCTTGTCTTGGTGAGAGCGCTTTCGAGGCCGTGCCCCAGAAGTTGTAAAAAAGCGCGTTCGTGGCCCTGCCCGACAGTTGTATGAAGGGTGAGAGCGCTTTCGAGGCCGCGCCCGAAATTGTAAAACGCGCGAGAGCGAAGTTGTGAGAAGGGTGAGAGGGCTTTCGAGGCCGTGCCCGAGAGTTGTAGAAAGGGTGAGAGAGCTTCCGAGGCCGTGCCCAAAAGTTGTCAGAAGGGTGAGCGTGCGTTAGAGGCCGTGCCCGAAGAGGTGTGAAAAGGGTGAGAGGGCGTTCGAGACCCTCAACCTGCCAAAGGGGCCCTTAAAGGCTAAATATTCTCAACTCAACCCTAAATCTCAAAGCTTAAACCGTCAACCCTAAGTATTCTGAACCCTAAATCTCAAAGCTTAAACCGTCAACCCCTAAACCCCGAACCCTAAACCCTAAACCCTAAACCCCAAATGTCAAGTCAAGGTGGCCCCAAAGGCCTACTGCACCGGCGACCTGGGTTTCATGGGCCCTCAGGGCTTGGTGCTGAAGGGGCGCCGAGACCACCAGGCGCTCCAAATGTGCCTGCAATCTCCAGTTGGGTAGGTAGGGTTTAGGGCTTAGGGTTTAGGGTTTATAAGGGTTTCTATAGGGCTTCTATAAGGGTTCTGGCCTTTGAGCCTTCCCAGAGACTCCAATACCCCTTAATTAAGGAATATGCCTTAAATCATATTAGGGATCCTACTACAAATTAAGGATATTCATTAATTCAGGGGTATTGGAGTCTCTGGGATCTCCTGTTTCAGAAAGCGTTTAGATAGAACATAATCCAATCCAGTAGAGGAGTAGAATCTCATAGAACTGTACTCGCAGAATAAAGCACAGTATGATATGAGATGATCTGACACCCTAAACCCTAAACCCTAAACCCTAAACCCTAAACCCTAAACCCTAAACCCTAAACCCTAAACCGTATCCTGAAGCTCTAGGTTCCTGAGTAGTACCCTTTTGCCGTTTTTATTGTGGGGCCTCCTTATTAAAAACCCAATATTAGGAACATGGGTACCCTTATTAAGTAGTGGTCACTCAGGAACCTAGAACTCTTCTAACAGGTGAAGATCTCCGGAGTTCGCATCGAGCTTTCCGAGGCACCGTTGCTGGGAGCCCTGTTTGAGATGTGGGGGGTTCCGAATATAGGGGACCCCAATACCCTATTTAGTAGGATCCTTATTATAAGGACCCCAAAATAAGGACCCCCTTGTTTTCTGAAACTCCCAT